GGATTTGGCAGGGGAGGGGGGGCGGTGAAGACATCCTAAAATCTCCTAGGCACCTTGAGTTCTGGACCCCATTTTAAATGCCCATTTGGGGTCCCCCCTCTTGGCTGCACCCTGTAACAACATCATAAACCAAACAAAAGTGCATTTTTTCTTCACCCAAAACTATTTCAATTTCTGTCTTTTCTATATGTTGGTGTAATGCTGTCTTCATCCTTTCTTGAAAAGGACTGCACTTTCTTTTGGGGTATATTCTTCTTTTTTTATAAATTTTGGTGTAAAATACACATAACAAACTTTACCTTTTTTTCTTTTATTTTTAAGTGTATGGTTTAGTTATATTTTTCTTTCTGATACTAAAATGTCATTCTTTTATAAAATAATAATAAAAATAGACTGTGGTTGTTAGGGAGGGCTGTTTTTACTTGAAAAAATGACGAAGTTGGCACTTTCTTCTTGGTCCCTAACTATGTTTTGATGCTGCTGGACTGAGAAACCCAGATGTCTCTGAACTGCTCACTGCATACAGGAGGGCTGGGGTCTCAGGGGGAGAGTTTAGGGGGCAGAAAGAAGCTAGAACAAAACCACAAAGAGAGGATCATGTAGGGCATTTTTTGGAGGGTGTATACCAGACTTGCTAAAACAAAGTGTTCTGGGAAAATAGTAGTTGGAAATAAGTTTTGGTTCTGGTTAAAATACTCCATGTCTGATGATGTTTTGCTCCTAGCAGAAACTCAGACAATTTGTTCACTGCATGCAGTGAAAGTTCGGAAAGCCAGATTCAGAAGAGCTAGGAAATAAAGTTTAAACTTCATTTTACAAACCAGGGCTTCCTGGAAGATGTTCCTGGGACAGGCAACCAACGTGTGAAGCCCCTGATCCCCTCCCTCCCCGAAGAAGCCAGAGCAAGTGGCCCAGCCCTGGGTTCTATTCTCCAGGTGTCCCGTGTGCTATAAAAACATGACAAATGTCTACAGACACCAGGAGTGAAAGAGGAAGGAGAGCAATGGGGAGCCACTGAACTTGACTGAGCAGTGGAGGTATACGATGATAACAGTATTTCCAAGATTATTAGCCAGGAGATAGAGGTCGGCATAGAGCCCAGGCTCGAAGATACAATCATTGGGGAAAAGAGTTCAAAGAAAGAGAGAGATAACAAATATTGGCAAATTGTCTCCACATTTGGCTCTTCTCCCCTCTCACCCCCCACTTTTTAAATGATACCCTGAAATTTTCCATAATATGGCATTGACTCTGCCCCCAGCTCTGTGGCTGAGCCCTGACTGACTTAAAGCAATCAGTACTTCTTAGCCCAGACAACTGATTGGTCCGAGAATGGGCACATAACCTAGTCAGAGATTTTTTAAAAATAAAGTAAAATAAGGACTTCTAAAAAAAAAAGGTTCTTGTTATCTGTCTGAAGTTGACAGAGGAAGCATGCAACGGTAAGGGGTTGGCAACACCTTTGGATCAGGACGGAGGACCTACCTGACAGCAGAGGAGGAGACACAGAAATGGTGAAAAGGAAGCTGGACCCAGGTCCCAGCACCTACACCGCAGCTGCAGCCCCCTGAGGCTACCCCAGCCCTGGACTCTGCCGTTACTGCTCAAATTCCTGTTTCTGCTGAAGCCAGTGTCGGTCTTATTTTATTTCACTTGCAACTGGGCTGATGCAGGGACTAACATGATCCTCAGAGTAAGGAAGAAGCGAGCATTTGCACTACTCCAGCACTCTGGAGTATAGCCATTGAAGGATGAGGCCAGATGGGTCTGGGACCTGGCGTCTGAAGCTGACTAGCCACGAAGGGATGGCGTTGGGACAGAAATAGAGAGCTAGCTCTGAGTTTCAACAGGAAAGAAGAGTCGCCCACCAGAACGGTTTCTGTCCCCAGCCCTACTTACATTAGCACTACTGCCTTCTCCTCGGGGATAGGGAAGGCCACCACCTCCTCCCCAGGGGAATGATGCAACCAGCCACTAGATGGGAGCTGGATCTGCCATGAAACAGTGAGGGAAAGTTAGAGAAAGTGTTGCTTGAGCAGGTCCCAGAAATAAAAAGAGGGGACTAAAAAAATGGGGGAGCAGAAGATTGTGGAAAAAAGGAAGAAAGAAAAATGCTGGAAAAAAAAGAAAGAAAACATGGATAGAAATCTAGAGAATAGAGGGCAACATAACATGGTTGCTTAGAGTGGGACCGGGACCAGATGCTGTTACTGATCAAAGGGCCTGGCCCTGAGTGGGTCTGCTTACTGCCAGCTGTAGTGTGTGGGTTCTTGACTTCATGTAGGGAAGATTTCACAACGCGAGTCCTGGTGACTATGAAGTTACATTTATTAAATGTGGGGACAGAAAACAAGGAAGAAGTTAGCATAGAAGAAGCAACAGGAGAGCCTAGGCTGCGCTGGCTTGGCTCACTGGGAAGTCAGAGAAAAGGGGGCTTTGGGAACTGTTTCAGAGGATTAGCTTGAGACAAGCTGCCAGCTGCCCATTGCCTCAGAGTTTAGGAGTCTCCTGCCTGTGGGGAAAGAAGTGGGGGGAGAGGAATGGAAAAGAAGGAAAAGGAAATTGCACAGGCTGCTCCCCACAGGGAGAGCACTGCCCAGGGTCTTTTTGTATTGAAGCTTTTATCCATTTCTTGTAGGTCTTTTGTCTTGAAGCTTTTATGCATTTCTTGCAGGTGGGAATCATAGGAGAGGCCTCAGGGGAAGGTTTCAGAAGAATATTCATCAGTTCTCCAGGTGCAGCCCTTTGAGGGTCCTGGTCTCCACTGATTGGTCAGTGGCAAAGTAGGGGTCTTTAGTCATTGCAGTTGGTTCTGGCATCACCTACCTGGTGTTGCTGCTTTTCTGGGCCTGGAGCTGAAATGCAACTTAGGTCTAGATGTTTTCTTCAGGGTGAAAAGGTCAGGGGAGAAGAGGTTACCCTGGGGGTGAGGCTATTGTTTTTGCCCCCTGCTAGGTACTCAGGGCCTTCCACGCTGGTGACCATCTGTACCTGGCTCTTCATGGCTCAGCCATTGTGCTCAGATAACTCTCTCCGTTTCCCTGTTACACTTGCCAAGGAATTTTCCTACCTTCTCACTATCCTCTCTCAATACTAGTTCAAAACAGATACCATTCTGTAACAAAACCCCCAGGTTCTATTGCCCGTCACCAAAAAAAAAAACATGACTCCCAATGCCAGAGTCTTATGAAAAGGAAAGCGACTATTTATTCAAAAGTTATACAGGTTCAGACTAATGGTGGAATTTTGTTTTTAAGTTTCAAAGTCCCTGAAAACTAAACACCCACAAACACACCGTCCTGCCACCCCTTGCCAAACCAGGCCAGTCAGAGGTCCCATCTCTCAGGAATGAAATGGAAGTCTGTATCTTAGCTCGGCAGATTCCCGATTTAACATTCCAGCTTCTTCCAGTCAACTGTGCTCGGCTAGGCTACCGCTCCTCATCCAAACCCACATGGCCCCTTCTTATAGTGGGCTGGTGGGGATCCTTCCTTTTCATACTTCATGGCCAAGGCTGCTCCCAAGCCATGTGGTTAAGAGCTTCCTCATGGCTAGGCAAGCACAGCTGCCCCACACTTGAGTTGAAATCCCCGCCGGATCTTCCTTTTGCTAGTCCAGGCAGGTTTGGCTCCCTGTCATAGGGGAACCGCCTTCCTGCTCCAGTGGTGCAGCAAGCCCCTACAGCTTCCTTACAGTCAAGGTCACACCCATCTCCCTGGCTCCCAGCACCTGCCACAGCTACTTAACATATTTATGAAGCTAGCCAGCTGGTACTGATATGCAAAGTAACTTTCTCCCCCAGCCAGGTTAGGGGGGGACTTCCCCATTTTGGGGACCTCTGTATTCCCTGCTGTAATTCCATCACTTACTAGCTGTCTTAGTTTACCCAGGGGTCCCTTTCTTGTCTGTAAATGAGCATGAAAGTGCCACCTTTAGATGACTGTGAGTCTCCAAAAGCATAATGCAGGAAAAGCCCCAGCAGAGTGTCTGACAGAAGTAAGCATTCTTGCTTGTATCTCTTAAGAATAAGATGGACAAATGTAGGATGACAGGAGAGGGAAAATGTAAAACACTTTTACTTAGATCCTGACCCTCCTTTGCGGCAAGCAGTGAGTATGCACTCCGTATAGAAGCGGCACTAAGAGAACTAAAAGGAAGGATCACATTGAAAGAAATGGCTTTTGAGAAATGTCAATAACGTCTATTTAATTTTAGTTAATGTGTGTTGAATTGGGCTGACAATAGCTGAGAATCTTCCACATACAAGGTGGCAGGGTGGCAGGGTGGGGTGGGGATCGGGATCACTTAACAAAACAGACTACTAAAACAAATCAAAATATCACCAGGGCTTGATTTCAGTTGTCCGAGTGTGGCACTACCTCCCCGCAATCCGGGCTGGCTGGATGGGAGGGGCCAGCTGGGACGAGAGCTCCCACTGCTGAACCAGCTGCGGGCGCTGGGCGTGCGGGAGGTGACAATCTCTGGAGCCCGCGTCCTACCCTGAAATCCTGGCCTCAGGAGGCCGTCTGGCAACTGGGCAGAGCTGGGCTGCGGGGAGTAGCAAATCTGAGAAGCGGAGAGACCGGACTGAAAGCCCCCGGGGCCAGGAAGCAGAAATGGGATTCTGATTTCTCCATGCACCTCCTACTCGCTAATAAATAACGGGACTGGCTCGCATTTATTAGGCACTTCGATGTTAATAACAATAAGTCATCCATAAGGCACTCAATTAATTGTAGCAATAAATAATAGCCCTACACACGCCTGCATTATCTCCTCCAATCTTCTGAACATCTGCTGAGTGTGTCTTATCACCACCATTTTTATAAGGAAACTGCAGCTCCGAGGTGTAAAGTGCTTCGGTCACAACGCAGGAGTCCACACTCGACCACAGACGTCCAGACTCGGGTGGAGCTGTGTCCGCCGAGGGACTGCCGCAGGGGCGGGCCGTGAGCACAGGTGTCTGCACCCCCACGAAGGGGCGGGGTCAGCGGGCAGGTGACGCCGAAGCCTCAGGCAGCCCACAGGTCACTCTACTGCCGCCACTCCACTCGGCCGACAGTCCGCTAAGGCAGTCCAGGCACTCCGCCGTCGCCCCAGCCTAGCTGCGTGCCCCAGCGCAGCCAGCCCGCCGTCCACCAGGAGCACCCCCAGCCGCCGCGCTGCACGCCCGGAGTGCGCCCTCCGCCCTCGCGGGGACAGAGGGCCCGGTCACCGTCATGCTGCCCGCTATCTACACGGTCTTGGCAGGGCTGCTGCTCCTGCCGCTGGTGGTGAATTTCTGCTGTCCCTACTTCTTACAGGACACGGGCTTCTTCCTGCAATTGGCTGGTTTGGCCCGGCGGGTGCGCGGATACGGGCAGCGGCGGCCAGTGCACACCATCCTGCAACATTTCCTGGATAAAGTGCGCCAGACCCCGCACAAGCCTTTCCTAATCTTTGGCGATGAGACACTCACCTACGCGCAGGTGGACCGACGCAGCAACCAAGTGGCACGGGCGCTGCGCGACCACCTCGGCCTGCGCCAAGGAGATTGCGTAGCGATTTTCATGGGCAATGAGCCGGCTTATGTGTGGCTGTGGCTGGGGCTGCTGAAGCTTGGCTGTGCCATGGCGTGCCTCAACTACAACATCCGCACGAAGTCCCTGTTGCACTGCTTTCAGTGCTCCGGAGCGAAGGTGCTACTGGCCTCGCAAGGTGAGCCCGGGAACCGCTCGGCCCTAACGTTGGGCTCCTCGGAGGGGGGAGTTCAAATTGAATCTGGAGGTGTAGAGGGAGAGGTTGACAACCCTTCCTCGAAATGCTAATTAATCTTTTAGAACTGCCCATTGTGGAAGCTGACTGGCCCAGACACTGTTAAGCACTACACATACTGTGTGGCTTTTAATCCTCGCAATAGGCAGCATTTACTGTCAGACTTTATAGATGAGACACCACTGAGGCCAGAGAAGTGAAGCCTTATACCTACCCCAGGTCATGGAGCTGGGCAGAGGGGAGGTAACCAGGGCGGTCCGCCGCGAGGGTCCGAGTCCAAGCTCCTAAGCAAGACTAACGACATCTGCGATCAAATGCAGAGGGTCTTGACTGGGAACGGCCAGTGGCTTCAAAAAATAATAATAATCCCGCCTCTGCTGCGTGATTGGCTGTGTAATCATTGGCTATGTAATCATGGGTTCCCTCTCTGACCCTTGCTTAGTTTCCCCCTGTGTAACAAGGTGGTCTTCAAGGTTAAGATTTTAGTCCCCAGTGAGAAGACTTTAGGAATCTGCTGCATTGCCTTGCGGTCCCCTTTTGCATCTATAGCGATAGTGATCTTCGGTTCCGTTGTTAACCTCCTGTTATATTTTAACAAGACCTGGAATGGTGACTTCATGCTACCATGGTGACTGTGCCAAGAAACCAAGATCCTGTTAACCACCAGGCTGCTTGCTGGTTTTCCCTTCCTAGAACACTTGTCTCTGTGCTTGAATAAGGACCCGCAGTTGCTTCCACTCCATTAGTAAGAGGAGGCTAGCCAGGTGGGGGCTGAAAGACACAGAGGAATAGGGAGCCAGGTAGCCTCACCTTTTTGGAATGCTTTTCTGTACAAAGCCCTGTGCTGGGTACCTTTGTTACCCTGAGAGATAATATATCATCACCCTCTGGTATGGAGTCCAGGAAACTGAGGCTTAACATTTGAATCTAGGTCTGTCCAACTTTGAAGCCCATGACATTCCCTGCATCATGCACCCTCTTCTATGCAGCTGTAAAAGCATCCATCTGCTCTCCCCTTTCATTGCATAGCTGAGGAAACTGAGACAAGCTAAGCAGTTTGTGTAGTGTCACAGAAAGATGTCTATTCACTTGTGAGGAACCAGGACGCTTACACATCTGTTTCGTGTGGCATAAAAGAAACAATCCAAAAAGTGAAGGTTTTATATAAAAGTTTAAAACAGAGGTCAGTTTAAAAAGCAAACAAGTTATTTGAAGGGCATGGTCCTTTCAAGAAAACTCCCAGCAGTTTCTAGTTGCTTGGGAAATGAGACAACTTCACTAACCAGAAGAGGCTCTTAAATCTATTACTTTACCATTTGATTCAGAGAGAAATTGTTAGCACAGGGACCTTGGTACCACTTCAGGAGGGATTGAAATACTATTAAACTGCACAGCACAGTTAGACATCGGGTGATAACAGGAATGTTTTATGAGAAATGTACTGTAAGGCAATTTGTCATTGTGCAAATATCACAGAGTGCACTTACACAAACCTAGGTGGTGTAGCCTACTATACACCTAGGCTCTGTGGTATACCACCACTGTATATGTGGTTCATCACCCACCAGATCATCATTATGCAGCACATGACCATGTCCCTGGCCCCAAGAGGAAGGTCAAGGCCTGGGAGTTCTGTTGACGAAGCTTCGGTTTAAATGACTATAACAGAGTTTGGTTCTGAATTTCGGGTCAGGAATACAACTAGATATCTCCTTCTCCACCCAGGCAACAGCCCTCTGCCATTGAGCATTATGTCTAGGTCATTCACTGTATAAAGAAAATAGAATACAATGCCGACATTTAAATCAAATTTGAACTAGGCTTTCCGGTAGACCCATGGTAGTTTCTAGCAGCAAACTGACCTTCGAAAGAGGCCACAAATTTGTAAAACATTCAGTTTTTCCAAATCACTGAGAGAGACCATTGCATACAGTGTAGAATTACACTCTGACCTGAAACAATGACAAATTGCCATCTGAAACAGTTCCTGCAAAGGAGATAACACAGAGTCCGAAGTTGCATGCCAAGCAAATGTACCCATATGTAAATGTGTTGAATAAACTAATTCTTAGAATTCTTTGAAGTTGGAAGGAATTTTACAGATATTCTAATCCTATAATCCTCCAACTTCAATGAGTGTGTTGTCAGTAAAAAACTTTAGAAAGTGCCCAGGCTGGTGTGGCTCAGTTGGTTGGAGTGTGTCCCGTAGACTGAAAGGTGGCAGGTTTGATTCCTGGCCCGGACACTTACCAAGGTTGTGGGTTACAAGAAGACAACCAGCCTATGTGTGTGTCTTTCTCTCTCTCTCCTCCTCTCCCTCTCCCTTCCCCTCTCTCTAAAAGCAGTGAAAAATGTCCTCAGGTGAGGGTTTTAAAAAAACTTTAGAAAGGAAGGGTTTTTTAAACTTAATCTTTATTGTATTGTTTCCATTACCATTTAGTCCCCTTATACCTCCTCCTCCCCCAACAATCACCACACTGTTGTCCATGCCCATGAGTACTCTTTCCTTTTTACTCAACCCCTCCATCCCCTGACTTCCCCCATCCCACTGTAGGTAACATGCTCTCCATCCATGAGTCTGTCTTTGTTTTGTTTTGTTATATGAGTGAAATCTATGATCTTTGTCTTTCTCTGACTGGCTTATTTCACTTACCATAATATTCTCCAGGTCCATCCATGTTGTTGGAAAGGGTAAAATTTTCTTCTTTTTTACAGCTGAGCAGTATTCCATTGTGTCAGTGCACCACAGCATTTTCATCCGCTCATCTACTGATGGGCACCTGGGCTGCTTCCAAATCTGGGCGATTGTAAATAACGCTGCAATGAACATAGGGGTGCATATATTCTTTCGAATTAATGTTTCAGGTTTCCTCAGATATATTCCCAGAAGTGGGATCACTTCTGGGTCAAAAGGCAGATCCATATTTAATTTTTTGAGGTGCCTCCATACTGCTTTCCACAGTGGCTGTGCCAATCTGCGTTCCACCAACAGTGCAAAAGCATTCCTCTTTCCCCACATCCTCACCAGCACTTGCTGTTTGTTGATTTATTGATGATAGCCATTTGGACAGGTGTGAGATGGTATCTCATTATGGTTTTAATTTGCATATCTCTGATTAGTGATGTTGAGCATGTTTTCATATGTCTATTGGCTATCTGTATGTCCTCTTTGGAAAAGTGTCTATTCAGGTCCTTTGCCCATTTTTTAATTGGGTCATTTGTTTGTTTGTTTGTTTGTTTGTTTTGGTGTTGTTTTGTAAGTACTTTATACATTTTGAATATTAACCCTTATCAGATGTATCGGCAAATATGCTCTCCCATTCTGTGGGTTGTCATTTTATTTTGCTGATGATTTCTAAGAAGGAAATTTTAATGAGCATAAGAATCACATGGAAAGCTTATTTGGAAAAACTGATTTCTGAACCTCATCTCCCAAAATACACTGAGCAGTGGGATTGTGGTGGGCTCCAAGAATGTGTATCGTATACCGAGTCCCACCCCATCCCCAGCTGATTTGGAAGCAGATGGTCTGAGGACTAGACTTGGAGAAATGTTCGGTCTAATTTCCACTTGTTTCACACTGAACAAAGTCCCAGCGGGGTGATCACACTTGCCTGGGGCCACATGGCTAATGAGCAACCGAGACCTGGGGACAGATCTCTGTCTTCTGACTGGCTTATTTCTCTGTCTTCCAGGCAGAGAATTTTTCTCTGTCTTCCAGGGCACATTTTATTCTACTACACATTCTGAACATATGTGGTACATAAAGGTGAGGAGTTTTAGAATGGTTGGAGTGGTGACAATTCAGTAGGGCTTGATTCTGCACTTCAAATTCCAGCCTCAGAGCTTGGGAGTGAGCTAGTGAAAAGCTCTCGAGTCCCAACTGTGTCAAATTCTGGAGTGTATGTAAAGGGACCAGCACCGGGGCATTTATCATAAGGATTAAGCCAGTTGTCATAAATGTGTGAGACTCCGTAAAGATCAACAGGACTCAACCATATCAGGAATTTCAGTACTCAATTATTTCTTCAGAATTCATTACACTTATCAAAAGTCAAAGATTCACAAACACTTCCCCAGATCAAAGAGTTGCTTCCATCTCCCAGAGAATGTGGTCCTCTTTCCATGGCACGGTGTGGTGTGAATATTCACATGTAAAAACCACCTTCACTTGTTTGAATTGGTATTTGTTTTGTTGATAGAAACCAACTTGTTGGCCTGGCAGATTTTTAAGCACCTGCCTAAACACAGACTGTGAGGAAGGCAGGAAACAATAATTCATCACGTACAACACAGGATATTTTGTGAAAACATTCAAAAGAGCCCCCAAAACAGTAAATTTGTTTTGTTTACTTTTAGGCTAGCCTTAAGATTTTCACTAAACTAGCTCTTTTCCTAGAAGAATAGCCCAGGACTCCTTCAGTTTACTAGCAAGGGCTACACTGTTTGACTCCACATAGCCATGCAAGGCTCCCACAGGGTAGCTACTGCTCTTGTACGAGGCTTTAGTAGTAGTTAAAGATGCTTTCTATTGCAAGCCTGAGGTCCAGGGAAGTTATATAATGTTCCAGATTACGTTTGACCTGGTTTTGCAAGGTTGTGGAAAACAAAACTGGACCTTCCTTTCAGCAACATGATAAAGGAAAATGCTTCCATTTTTTTTAAAGGTATTGCATGCATCATTGTACGTTCTAAAACAAGAGAACTTTGTTGTAAAACTAGTGTTAGGACCAAGGAGAAGTCTCTTCATACAAACTTTTGAAGTTAGATTGAGAAAAACAGATGGTACAATAATTTCAAATCAAGAAACATTTAAAGAGTCCTCACAAGGCACAAGCTAGTTGCCAGGGTGGGATGGGAAGTTAAGAGAATGAATTCGTTCAAGGGTCTTACCATCCAGCAAAAGACCTAAGCCACATAACCACACACATATGATTCTGACA